TCAGAACAATTTGCAAGGTTACTTTCAAATTGCCTTCTTACTGACTGAAGGAATTAGCTATTGCAGAGAATCTGGGATTTGTGTGCTCTTCTATGTGAAAAATCACATGCTACTCAAGTTTCTCAGTTCCTTTCATCTCTCCCAACTTGAAGAATTAAATCAGAGGATTCTGCACCAGAAAAAGAAGCAAACAGAAAACAGAGGAGGGGCAAAGGCTAGGTGCAGCTGGAGAGAATACCACAGTCAGCAAGTAAAAAATGGGGAGCGTTGTGCATTGCAGGGCTCAGTTAGGCAACAAATTTGCTCTTTCTCTTCTGGAGACCAGGAGCAAAAGGAGGTGATAAATTGTTGAGGGTTCTGGGATTAAAACAGCATGGTGGAGTTAAATGAGATTCTGAGAGCTTCTTGGGAATCATTTCCACATGCTGAAGTGCCCGAATGTTGCAAGGGAAGAAAGAGAGAAATACCCAAAGAACTGCCTGAAGCAAACAAGTTTACTTCTTCTAGCACAGCAGTGGTAGTCACTGACCTAGCAGAAACATACTAAAGCTTGAAAAAAAAAAAAATTGGTATGGAGAAGTATACATCAGCTTTTATTGTTTTTATCTAGTACTCTGTATACCTTGTGCCTTTGGGTGGAATAATAATTAATCCTTTCTTTGGGGAAAGCGTAAGAAAGTTAGCTGTTGCCATAAGGCAGAAAGGGAGGAAAGCTTATGAAGTTACAAGCAAGCTGGGATTTTCTCTTCAACATGTTAAATGAAGAAGAGGGAGTTGCAGCTTGGTGGTGGAGGCAAGGAGTGACCAGTCCAATTACAAACCTGGTTGCTTGGGAGGTAAACTTGAGCGGGGATTAAAGGCTGAAAAGATCAACTTCTATAGTTGCAGCTGTGACAGTCAAGACTGGATTGGTGCTGTCACTGAGCTTTTTCCTCTGTGTACTGCTAAGGCTAGCTTAACAGATTCACTGTCTAGCAAGTATGGTCCTCAAGGGATAGTCTCCAATCCTATTATAATGATGTCAGCTGTTGGCAGACTGTACTTGATGGTGAAACTAGCTTCTTCTCATCTCATTTATATCCTACATAATTATTCTGGTTATTCTTGATTCACATCTGTGCCTGTGCGAAGAGAATCAGTCAGTGGATTGAGGCTTTTTTTGGTTCATGCTGGAGTTGAAGATCCTTTCTTTGTTCTTAACTTTATCCACTCATTTAAATGAAAGACACACATTTTCTAGTCCAGATACAGGCTTTCCTAAATGTGAAATTCAAAATGTGGATCCAAATGTTACAAATTCCACAGTTTTCAGATTCAGCTTGTGGTAGGTATGGTAGTGAAAAAGGGCAACTCCATGAAATAAGACAAGGTCCCGATGTAGTCTGTTCAAAGCATTGTATCTATTGGATGAATCACCCTAAAACCAGATCAATTTAAAAGAACAGACTATTTACTTTAATTAACAATAAAACCGAGTTATCTTCAGAACAGAATAGCTTTATTTGGCTTATTCACTACACAGAAATTGGATAGATTTAGGTGTGGTTTAGAAGTGAGATGGTATAAATTTAGGGCAATGAAAACAGGGAAACCTAATTTCCAAACTGTATATACTGTGCAGACAATATGGTTATAGTACATACTATTTTTGAAGCATGGGAATACCCTAATGTCTTTAACTGGACTGACCTTTCATCAGTCATTTTCAGACGGGCTTTATTTCATTCAGGAAAGGCAATATCACAAAGTAAACCCCAAAATAATCAAGTTATAAACAGCTGGCCTCTCTGATTCATAGAACACTCAAGTCTGTCATGTTAAGTTCATAGGATATTCAGTCTCTTCGTACGGTAACGAGTGCTCTGAGCTTCTCGGAAGCTAAATATGAGAGGCCTATGGCGTTGTGCTACTCATTCAATTTATCAAATATAGGTTTTCAAACACCTGTATCACCTTTCTCCAGAAAGACGCCATTGTTTTTCTCATGTGTTATAATTTTATTTCTCACAATTATTTTATTTTTTAAGTTATTTTTATTTTTATCAGAGTATTTTAGCTGCAGGAACCAACACCCACAGATGTCATTTAGTGCTGAAATTCAAGCATGGCATGCCTACTGCCAGAGATGACGCCCACTCACTAGGAATATTTATGCAGCTATATGGGCAAGGCCAGAACTGTGAACATACCTCATCCTCAAGAACACTCTGGCTTAGCGTTCCCAGCAGCTGCTCTGAGTCATAATGGGCAGACATCCTAAGAGATCTCACTGTGCTTCAGGGCAGAGACTGGTTGTATCTCCCTACTTGAAAAGCCCCAGCTTGCCCACAAGAATAGGGAAGAGAATGTGGCGCTCTCACAACCCTTGTTGCAGGAGAAAGTTGACGGCATCAGCCTGAAACCAAGGAAGAACAGAGACGAGAGTTCTTTCTTTCTTAGTTTGGATGGCAATGGTCCACAGGGCTCAAATTGGATGCTCTTCACTTGTTTTCTGCCATCACTATGGTTGCTCTGAAGTTGAAACCAACATGTGTAGCATGACTTCTTTTCACTTTTTCTGCCTCCCGAGGGTGAATAGAGTGCATAGTCTAAAATTACATCTTTTCTAGGCAAAGGGGAGATGACTCAGAGTGGCTTCTTTCTTAAATGTTGGTGCTCTTGGTCATATGTAAGAGAAGATTTATACCCAAAGAGAAGGTTTATTAATTGTGTTATAAAAGACTCTTAGCTATCCCAAAACATGATTCTGAACTTGTTTATGAAGCCTTTACAGAGAATGTGGGTGCATTGGGTTTGCGTGGCAAGGTTTTGGGAGTGGGGGGACTACAAGGGTGGCTTCTGTGCAATCCCATGTCCAACAGAGCCAATGCCAGCTAGCTCCAAGGTGGACCTGCCGCTGACCAAGGCTGAGCCCATCAGCAATGGTGGTAGCACCTCTAGGATAACATGTTTAAGAAGGGGAAAAAGTAGCTGCACAACAGCAACTGTAGCCAGAGAGGAGTAAGGATATGTGAAACAACTGTGCAGATGCCCAGGTCAGTGAAGAAGGAGAGGGACGAGGTGCTCCAGGCGCCGGAGCAGAGATTCCCCCGCAGCCCCGGGTGCAGCCCACGGTGAGGCCGGCTGTGCCCCTGCAGCCCAGGGAGGCCCACGGGGGAGCAGATCCCCACCTGCAGCCCGGGGAGGACCCCACGCCGGAGCAGGGGGGTGCCCGAAGGAGGCTGTGACCCCATGGGAAGCCCGTGCTGGACTGTCTGCCGTGGGAGGGACCACAGGCTGGAGCAGGGGCAGAGTGTGAGGAGTCCTCCCCTGGGGAGGAAGGAGCAGCAGAGACGGTGTGTGATGAACTGACTCCAACCCCCGTTCCCGGTCCCCCTGCGCCACTCTGGAGAAAAGAGGTAGAGAATTTGGGAGTGAAGTTAAGCCCAAAAAGAAGGGAGGGGTGGAGGGAAGGTGTTTTAAGACTTGGTTTTTATTTCTCATTACCCTGCTCTGATTTGATTGGCAATAAATTAAACTACTTTTCCCAAGTCAAGTCTGTTTTGCCCGTGACGGTAACTGCTGAGTGATCTCTCCCTGTCCTTATCTCAACCCATGAGCCTTTCATGGTATTTTCTCTCCCCTGTCCAGCTGAGGAGGGGGAGTGATAGAGCAGTTTTGGTGGGCACGTGGCATCCAGCCAGGGTCAAACCACCACAGTGGGATAGGCAGTATTTCTTAATATTTGCAATTTTGTAAAAGTTGATGATTTTCTCATAGCATTTGTTGCACAAAAAGAGGTGTGTATAAATGATAACAGGTCATTATCTGCTAGAAGAAAATGAAACCTATTTGTCATTGATAGATAGTAGAAAGTACCAGATTTGCACACACTGTTATACAAGTGTTTAGGGTAGCCACTGCATTCTTCTAAACTAAAAGCTGGTGTTTGGTTTCTGGATGTTCTTCTCCTTCCCCTGAACTGGGGACCTGCCAACCTCAATGGAAGGAAGGGGTTTGAAATGCCTACTTATTATGGGCCATGTTTCCATACGGATGTTTGGATGGGGCACTGCAGCTCTTGTTTGCAGTCACCCAGACCACTTCTCTTTCCTTTATGTATTCTGTGGTGGAAGCCACCTAATTCTGTTTGGTATCTCATGTAATCCTTGTGGCAATTACAGCAGTTGTGTGTATGAAAATGTATTGAACATTGGTATTACATGAACATTTAATTGGAATGGGGGCTACCAGACCAGTTTCTATAGTTTAAAATATTTTAGCTGGAATAGATAAGACATCCTGAGGCATGGCGATGTGCCAGCTCTCAGTACTATTGAGACCACAAACCGATAAGATACAGGAACTTCTGGTACATGGAATGGTGAGTGTCACTGAAAAATCATTGTCTTAGTAAATGCCAATACTTTAATGGAGGCAACAGTACTATGCATGGAATATGTGAGCATGCATGGCCACCGCCAAAAATTATATAAAAAATCTTGCCTCTAGGTTTATTCTATGTACTGCTTTCCCACTGGGAATCTTGATAATGGAAATGTACAAAGTTATCATTAATAACAGTGAATTTCATGAATCTAATCACTGTCAGTACATGCTTAGGATATAGATGAGTTACACAGTATATCTCTATCATTGATCATGTATGTGGGAACCATTAAAATATATAAACAAAAATTTAAATAAGTAATCACATTCCAAACACAGTGCGAAAATAATGAATATAAATATTATGTGGGGAGAAGGAGTTGTTTTTAAAGAATCATTATTTCTGATCAAAATAACAGAAGAAATATCATTTATCTCGTCACCTTCAACTTTGAATTGAGTCTTATAAGTTTGAGCAAATTAACTGCAAACTGATAAGACTTGAGGGCAACAGGTGTGCAATTAAGGCACAACAAAAGAGGGTTTATTAGACTCAGAATGTCATTTGGAAGTTTTAATTGCCTTTGCAAGCTAGGGGAAAGTTAATTCTGAATGTTTTACTTATCTTCTAGGAACCATAATTATGTCAGAAGAATTGCAAGATGCTTTAGATAATATGTATGATGCTCGAATTCCAAAACTATGGTTTAGGATTTCCTGGGAGTCAGCTACTTTAGGATTTTGGTTTACTGAGCTTCTTGAAAGAAACCAGCAGTTCAGCAGTTGGCTGCAGGACGGCCGACCAAATCAGTTCTGGATGACAGGATTCTTTAATCCACAGGTAAGGCTGCCAGACTCATCTTTCTAACTCATATGTAACAGTGAAATTGGACCTTGAGAGGACTTCAAGCTGACTCAATCATGACTATACAAAGTTTAATCTAAATTCAATTTTTAGCATACATGTAGGATAAATTAACTTCAACATCTATTGAAGAAATTTTTGCTAGTCTAAAATAACTACTGAAATAATGGAATACATCTTCTGGTTGCTTTGATTATAGTATGGAAATTGAGTAAATACATCTTTTCACATTTCAGTGTTATGCTTTTTTCCCTATCCTCTGTTACAGTAATCTATTTTTCACTCATTGTATGAAAATCCCTTTGAGTACAAAACAAGGTAAGTTTCAAAACTTTGACATAGGAAGAAGAGATTTGGACTTGGCTCTCAATCCTTGCAAATTAGTTCCTTGAAATGGAAGGTGTGTTATTTATACCACCCCAGAATTGTGCCAGACTTGGTCTGCAGAGACGTATAAAAAATACAGCTTCTCGCCTGCGCCATCTAAAATAAAAACCTGGCACAAAATGAAACACAAAAAAGGGAATAACTGAGAACAGAGTTAAAAGAAGTGAAGTATACATAGCTAGATAATATGCAGTTTCCTTGCACAGCTATCCACATTCGTTAAAGCTTTTTATGATTCACAGATGTTTATGGGAAGTAGGAGTTGTGGAAGTGATTCATCGTGAGAGTATCCAGCCAACAGGTTTCTGTGAAGCCTTAGCAAAAAGCTATTTTAAAGATCTATTTTAATCTCAGTACTTGTTAGCAATGCAGAAGCTAGCTGAAACAGCTGCCTAGAATAGAGAAAGCAACAGTGGCAAATATTCTCTGGGACTGCTGCTGGGAAATATCCATCTATCATCTATCCTGTCTGTGTCAGCTGTCTGCCGATACCACCTTTATAGCATGGAAGTGTGCTCACAGAATCCCTGAACAAAGGGTTCCCAAAGGCATGAGGGAGAGGAGTAGGAGTTTTAATAAAATAATTATGCTTCCATGCTTGGTTTGTTAGCAACACATCGATAGCAGCACTCTCAAGTACTCCTAAGTAACTTTTGCAATGATCAGGCTGGATGCAACCCTAATAGGCTTTTGGTTTTGTTGGTGTTTGCTTTTGCACTAGAGGTGAGCAAGAGCTGATACAGATTTTGTACTAGCCATTTTAGCTGGTTTTTTTGTGCTTTGGGGTTGTGTCAGTTCTGAAATGTTGCCAGCCCAAACTGGGCAGCCTACAGTTTTTTTGATCCATACAACTGGATTTCTCAAAAAAGCTGCCAAATAATCAGAGTAAAATGTCCCCAAACAAGTTATGATTTAATAGACCATAGTAAGTGAGAAAACCTTCAGAAATACGAAAATTAAACACTTCATAACACGTAATTCTAAAAGTCCCTAAATACGGAGAGCGCAGAGAAAAAAAAATCTGAGAATGAGATGTGCTTACCTGATTTAAAAATTTATTTGTGCTGTCAATCACAGGCTTAAGAATCAGATGGTTATTGTTATAGTCTCCATGTTCTGTAACCCAGACTGTGGGAGTGGCTCATTCTACAAGAAATTCACCTGAGCGAAGGCTCCTTTTCTATTTAAATAACTATTATTTTGTTAATAGTCATATTGCTGTGTTTAAAATCAGTATTTCATATGTTAAGAAAATTGATTTTCATCTTCTCAAGCAAGCTGAGGTGATGAAGTATTCGAATGGCTTGTTCGTAGGATCTGAGAAATTGTCAGAAAAATCCTTTCATTTGTGAGATGAAATGCAGCTCCTAAGTAATTTGTAATTTGCCTACTTGAATAGATCTCACTGTTTGCTTTATGGTCAATGGATAAATGCCACGGATAACAAAAGACAATAAAGTAGATTTATAGCACTGGGAGAATGAGGCAATCTGGCAATAAAAAATAATATAGGACCCAACTCTGCCTTCTCTTGGACTATTTATACACTAGGATAAATTCAGGATTTCACAGAAGTTAATCTTTACTTGGGCCAAGATAACTGAGGTGAACAAAAGAATAAGTGCCATGAATTTTCTTCCTTCCTGGAAGTTAATCTTATGTTACTGAATTTTTTTCTCAAAAAATTTGACACTATGCATATCTCATTTCTACCTCCCAATACTGATACTCCCTCCTGATACTGTTTTATTTTTTTCCTTGTTTGCATCGCTGTAGCGAGTTGCTGTCACTTGTCCTATATATGGATTTTAAGCCCTGTGAGGCAGAACTGTCTTCCTGGTTGTATAGTGAGTATTTAGCATAATGAACCCTCAGCCTATTTCTAAGACCCTTAGATGCCAAAGCAATGCGAATGCTAATAAGAATATGAAGTGCAATGCCTCTATTCCTCAGTGCCCACTTAATTCTAGTAAGCCTGCCATAATTTGCTTGCTGTAGAAATTGCAAAGTAAGTGACAAACAAGGAACTTCCTAAGCAAGGTAAAGGAGAGAATATGACTGTGAAAGCAATAGACTTAACTGATTTCTGTTTCTCATCATAGCTTCCGTGGATGCCTGCTTCTTTCTCACCAGAAGGTTCAGAGTTAGTTTGCACAGGTTGTTAGAAGGCAAAGGGACAAAACTTTAGTAGCCTTCAGTGAGCAAGCCAGGGAGAAGTTCAGGAAGAGGCAGGTGAAGGAAGAAGAAATAATTTTCCCTGTTTCTGAAATCTCAACATACCCCACCCCCAAAAAACCACACACACAAACAAACAAACAACAACAGAAAAAAAAAAAAACCAGGACAAAGATTACTAGAAATCAAAAGAAATCTTATGGCAAAGTGGTCCATTATGTCCCTGACAGAGGGTCTTGGGGGGAGACAAGCCGTACAGTGGCCCCTCAAGCCACTTGATTCTTTCTTGCTGTTTATTGTGCTGTTCACCCACTCCGGGATACCCAGCTGGGCCTCCAGCTCACAGCTGTAGTCTTTAAACACTGTCTAGGACTCATTCAAATAAGCAGGTAAGTGTTGCAAGTCCCACTGCAGGCAGGGTATAGATCCTACCATCTCTGTAAGAATAGTCTGCAGCCTAAATCTTATCCCTGAAGACAACTCACAGCTCCAAGCTTACTTTTATTCTAGTGTTTCCACGCTGCCTTTGAACTCATTCCCTTAATACAGTCATTGCTCTGTCCTGTCCTCTTCGGGCTCTTCTTTCTGTAATATTTCAGTTTATCTGGGATCCAGTAGGCCTCTGGGGCCTTCTGGCAGTGAACACTTTGTGTATTTTAAACTATTGGTTCTAGCATGTTTCTACAAATTAAAATTCCACAAATTAACTACAAGGACTCTGCTTTCATTTAGTGGCATTTCTGATAGAAAAAGTTGGCCTTTAATCCTGTCTCCCTTAGCTACATGCTAGAGTTCTCAGCTACTTCAAACGCAATTACAATTATCTATGCTATCACAAAACCTCTTTAAAACACTTGTCCTGGGGGTCTCTGGAATGGTATTAATGAGAAGCAACCAACGTCAGTTAACCAAAACATCTGAGTTCATGAATGTCACCTCATGTTCTAATAACTTAAAGGGGATTGCGTAGCTACAAAGTGCTTAGCACATGCAACAAATACTCCAGTCCCAGTAGCCAGGGGTTGGCCCCTGCATTCAGTAGACCAACGTGCTAATGTTTCTGCACCTGGCTTCTTTCCATTCGTTTGGCCCTAACAGTAGCTCAACAGAGCATCCTGCACTGTGAATACTGAATAAAAAGCTTGTTCAGTTTCCTCATTGCTCCTGATTTCTTCCTAGCTGTGCTGTTGGCTCTCTAATACCCACCGCTGTGTGTTCCCCATGTGGCTCTGTATTCCCCCATCTCTGTCTCCAGATACCTTCTTTCTTTGCTCTGAAATCTGTCCTGAAGCTTCTTCTTTCCTAGTTGTCCTTCTCAGTAAGTCCCTCTTGCTCTTGCATCTTCAGTTTTTATGTCTTACTCATTCATCTCCTGGCTAGGCAAATGGGTTTCCATAAGGTAAAATTAGGTGTACATCTACAGCACACCCACTGGAAGTGCAAAGCAGTCCACCCTCCTGTCTTTTGGGACTAAGGTACTTCCCATGTGCTGCAGCGTGCATGCTCATGGACAGTTACATGAGAGAAGCTAACCAGCATCTTCAGCCTGGCTTATCTTGTGATAGCTCATAACCATACCATGAGATTGTAGCTCATTAGAACAGAGGGTGAGTTTCATACTGTGCTGCTGAAGCGCTGTGGGTTTATCTTGCTGGTGTCTACAATAGTACGTTATTGTGGTATGCTAAGGCTTTGCACTGAGCAAGGCGACAGAGGCATTTCACTATTTAATTGCATGATTCCAGTTTGTACTTCCTTGGTTTTCTGTAAAATGCTTTGTGATTTGTTGACTGAAAAGCAATTTTGCAATGTCGGTATAAGAAAAGGTGAGTAATATAGCACATGAAATACCAGTGTTATTTGTGGCTTAGCAATTACCTGTATTGGGAACCTCACAAAACACATCCATCTGGCAGCCTTGTAAACCTCTCTCCGTCTGACTGCTTGTAAAGTAGGCATGTGAGGTGAGTTACACATGCAGCTCCTGATGTATTAAATAAGCCAGTTTGGTGGCTTCTTAGCACCAACACATGCACACCAAGTATGTAAGAATGCATGGTACTGGGAAAATGTAGGAAAGCACTGGATTTACGCAACTGAATTCAGTTTTGTATGCAGATAAAATTACGTGGGATGAGGTTTTATACCGCTGATGTCACTATTATATAGGAAAAAAACTTGAAATGGGTAAATTCAAGTATGTTAAACCACTCTATGTCATATTCAATCTCCTTAGGGATTCCTAACAGCTATGAGGCAAGAGACAACTCGCATGAATTTAGCAAAAGGGTGGGCACTCGACAGTGTTGTTTTACACAATGAAGTGACCAAGATGATGAAAGAAGATGTTGTTGGCCCTCCGCCTGCTGACATTGGTGGGGTTTACATATATGGCCTTTTCCTCGAAGGGGCAGGTTGGGACCGGAGAAACTGTAAGCTGGTTGAGTCAGCACCAAAGGTAAGGGTCGAGCAAGAATGACTGACTGTGGCGTAATATGGTGCATTCAGAGAACGCTAGGAAGCATTTTGAGTGCCTGCAGCAGCGGGTTCACAACAGGTTTTAAGAGGGTAAAACATTAGCAGGGCGGTGGGGGAAAAGGACAGAGTATTTACCCACCGGAACTGAACAAGACGACTTCCAAAGCCCAGGACTGGGTTTGATGACAGCTGCTGTGGAGGTCAGTGTTTGGATGGCATTTTTTTTAAATAGGAGGAAGAGTATTAGTTCTGGGCTTATGCTCAGTTATACATGCATGGAGTTACATTTTACTGATGTGACTAAGCAGATTTAAAACCTATGAAGTAGTGGTTAGATGCTGTGGTCGCTGCCCAGGGAAAGCTGCCATTGTCTGAACTGGTAAACTTTTTCCAAACCAGTGATAACTGTCCTGGAATTGGAGTTGAGGTAATTCCTCTCCGTAGGTAAAACACTTCTGTGTCTGGCTGAGAGCTAATTTTTCCAAACCAAACCTTGCCAGCTGTTGCTTCTGGTGACAGCTGTTGCCTGGTTTGTCTAAAGGCACGTTCAAACATGGAGTTTGCTCAAGTGCTCTGGAAGGTTCAGCAAGCCTCCATGTTGCTCTTGGGTTTGGATCTTTTTTGCCTCCTGCCAATGCATGCTTTATATTGCTGGAAGACCTGAGGGGATCTGGTCTGGATAAACACCCAAGAGGCGCCTTGGATCTTTGAAGCTCCACTGCTAGCAGTGCAGAGGTAACAAGGAGGCTTGCTAAATGCAGCTTGGCCTTTGTAGCTCCAGCCCTGCCATTCAGGGAACAGGAGGTGGGGAAAGAATGGGGAACACTAGCTGAAGGGACAAAGGAAGGGAGCAAAGACAGTGGTTTCTCTCCTTCCTAGAACCACCCTGCCATTTTTCCATCTACTTCCATGGCGTGCAGTTTTCCAGGTTTCTGCTGCTTTCTTTTCCTTCCAGGCTTCTTGACGTTGTTGTCCCTGAGCTGCCACTCGCTTAAAGTTAATGTAGTAGTGAGCATAGGACTTGTGCTCTTGCGTGTACCTCTGCTGAGGTGCTGGTGCTGTTGCTGAAGGCCATCACTGAATCTAGTTCCAGCATTTGGAGTTCAGGCACCTTATCTTGCTTCTCTAACGCTGAGCCCCATGTCTCTTTTAACATTCTCAGGTGCTGTTCACAAGCCTTCCTGTAGTCCACGTGTATGCTGTTAGCACAACAGCACCACAGGACCCAAAGAAGCAACAAGGAAGCGTGTACTCCTGCCCTGTCTACAAGAAGCCCCGGAGAACGGATCTGACATACATTTTCTCTTTGTCTCTGAAGACAGTGCAGAATCCTGATCATTGGACTTTACGGGGGGTTGCACTGCTCTGCAATTCAAAATAAGGACCAACAGATCTCGGTAAAGAAAGAACCACCTAGGAAGATTAATCTGCAGCCAGTAGGACTTCTGTTACTGACAAAGTGGTGGCTGCCTTCTCATAGGGGTATGGGAATTAACAAGTGACATACAGAGATTGTCTTAATTACACATTGATCACTCTACTCTGTTCACAGCAAAAATGCTAAATGTGTTTAACCTGGGAATATCAGAGGGAAAACAGTTGTAGGTGTAAAATTTAGCAACTGTTGTAAAGCAAGTGAGAATATAATCAACTAGCTTGCTCAGAATGGAAACACTAGGAAAAAAGTGCTTTATCGTGATAGTGACAACTGCTCTAACATTTATGGTGGTTCTTTTGGGGATGTTATCTTTTCTTCTTAATACAAGACTTCTTCATAATATGATATAATTATTTTTAAATTCAACTTTCTAGTTAAAAACTTACCGTCCATAGCATTATTAAAGCTGTAATGCCAAGTGAATTAAACGTATGGTAAAACTTCATGTTTATCTGTGTGTATTCCAATGCACAGTTCCTTTAATTTTGCATTCATAAACTTATGGGGTGGTTTTACAAACAGATGCTACCATTCCCCTTAGACACTTGTTGATGCTGAACATCACAGAAGTTGTACAAACAGGTGGGTTTATCTTTGCTCAAGCAGTGGCCTTTGCATGCATTAACTCCTTTCCAAGCCTATATCCCATAGTAAGGAAGATGTGCACAACCCCCATTTATTAGTGAGAAAAAAGTTTTGAAACTCCTCTCAGAGTTAATGCATCTGAACACCAGTTTGGCTCTGTTCGTAGTCGCTCCATTGGCGTTAGTGCCTGGATCCTGCAAACTCAAACCTCTTCACTGCTTTTTATTCTGTATTTTGCATCAGTTTAGGTAAAAAAAAATATTAGAAGACACACAGGCCATTTCTGGGGGTAGATTCACCTGAAATGATTGAAGCCGTTTTTGTTTGTTACCACCATTGCTGTCTACCCTGTAATTGCAGGGTGGTTGCTACTTCTTTTTTAATAGATAAGACAGCGATTGGCAGAAAACGTGTTTGGCTTTTTTTGCTAGCACAGATTCAAAGCAAAAGAAATTGCTGTTGGGTGTTACGAAAGAAGGACTTGCAGTGAGTGCTTTGCTAATCACTTTTTTCTCCTTGTAAACACTTTCAATTTTTGTATAAACGCTTCCATTTCTTTTCAGCTGGTGTCTAGGAAAGTAGTTCATCCTTTCCCATAACCAGTTTTATTCTGCAGAGAGCAATTGCAAGGCTCGTTCCATGAGGGAGTTTGATACTCACACTCCCACCCACAACTAAGCAGAAAGTCCCAGATTTCTTCTTGGAAAACAGAGCAGACAGGGACAGGATCCCTTTCTCCCTCTGAGCCGGGAGCAGCACTTGTTTCACATGCAGCACCAGCGAGATTATTTTACCAAGTGAAACCAACTGTTCAAAAAATATACACCAGCTCCCCCCCCCCCCCCCCCACCCCAGCTGTACGGCCGTACATCAACCAGCTTCATTGAGGATTTTGTTTCTGAGAAGGGTGAAGGGTTGCGCTGCTCAGGGAAGTTATGAAAGAGATAAGGGGGACTTCAAGCAGCAAAAGGCTGTGCTGTTGTGTAGAAATTGAGGTTGTAAACCATAGAGTTCTCCCTATCCCCTACCTGTATGAGGGGATACGGAGTGAATTAACTTTGATCACTTGGTATATGTAAAATTCAAGTCAGTAACATTGATAATAACTTAAAATGAAGAGCGTGCACTGAAATACTTTGCACACCTGAAGAACTCACGGCTTGCTATGAAACCAAATCATCCTCTGAACACCTGAAGTTAGAAGTAAACCTTAAAAAATACATATTTGATAGAGGTTGTATGTGGTGCTACAGAATAAGCTCCATGGAAACTGCATCACTTCCTTTCTTTGTCAAGTAAAATGAGAAAATTAAATGCTATATAAAGAAAATCTATAGGCAGTTATGTTCTAGCACTTAGTGGTCTGCTGTATAAAAATGCAAATAAATAGCTGCTTTGACTTTTTCATTTCAATAACTAAACCCTGTTTGTCAGTTTAGGAAAACATCAAATCTTGCAGAACAGAATGCAGGCTGTATTACAGAAGAACCAGACAAATCATACAGTATTTCACTGAAGAAAGCTACAGTTTTATATGAAACTGGAAGAAGAACATATAGTCGCCTGGTTCCAGAAAAGACTTCCTATAACTAGTAAAAACCCAACCAAACAAAACCTTCGATCTAGCCTATAAGCAAACCCTTTTTTTTTCTTTTTGCATGTAATTAGAGTACAGTGGAGATGTACAATTTACTGTTGAAAGAAATGCCTTCCTCTCCCCATCTCCCTCTCTTGCCCTGTCCTGCCCTTTCATTCAGTGGAGTTGCTGCTTCCAATCTGACAACATTAATTTGATTTGAAATGTCACTGACAGAGTATAACATTGACCTTCCCCAACCAGCGTTCCCTAGTTACTATTGCTAAAGCTGTTTCGCTTCAAATGTGATGTACACCAGACTAAATGAAAGAACTGGAAGGCAGAATATTTGAAATCAAACTAATTATATTTAAATTATGGATTAAGAATTAGCTGGGAGTCCTCAAACAATGTGTATACATAACCAAGTTATGCTCTGCTGTTAAAACGAATCTGAGATATTAGATACAATCATACAGCTTTTGGCAACATTGTACAAGTTTCACACAGATAGTAATGACTAACATTGCTTTAGGTAAGTGCTTTGAAGGCAACTCCATTTAAGAACGAAGAGAGCGATACAGTCCTGCACCCCATGTCAGCGTAGCGGTCGTGTTTACAAACATATCTGATGTCAGGGCACTGGCTCCTGAGTGTTGCAAATAAACAGCATTCCATACTCCAAAGGGTGTCTGTCTCGTAATCCCTGAGGCTGTGGCTGGTCGATAACAGTGGTGGTAGGAAACAAAGAATTGGGTTATGGATGGGCATGGTATTTCAGTGGCTTTGTCAAATAGGTTTTAATTGCAGCGAAGCTCAGGAAAATCACAGAGAACGGAAAACAAAACAATTCTGGTCAGCTGTGTTCACAAGCCCTGTGATCCTCTGGATAGAGTAACAGTTCTTTAAAAGATCTCGAGGAAACTTCAGTTACATTATTCTAAATTTTTTCTCTCTTTATCCAGAACGCATGCATTAATCTTAGTCCTCTTTCACTGCTTCACACCCTTGCCTTTCTCACAATCGCCTCTTTCCAAAACGCGGACACAATACCTCATTCTCCTTTCCTCCTGCTATTCCATATTTAATTTGTCTTCTGCTTTTTTATTCTTGCTCTGTAAGTGCAGAAATTTCATTGCTTACATACAGAAAACATTCCTCTTCCAGAACTCTGGAAATAATCTTTAGTCATTTCAGGAGCTTCTCTTTTCCACTGAGAAGAAACCCAATTTACTCAAGACCCTATCACTCCTGCCACATTTTGTCACACCCTGGATAAAGTAGGAATTTCCTCCACCTGCTGTTTCAGCGAGAGCCACTAAACAAAAAGGTTTGTATAGCTAGATGTACATTTTCTATAGTTCTTCCTCTTGCTAATATGAAGTGATAGCTTTGTTATTGTTTTCTGATTAGAGGAGTTGGTGTAAGATAATGGAAATAATTTTTTTACTGTTGTGCATAAAACTGCAGAGAGTGATTAGGCTGTAAAGTGACTGCTAAATCAGCCTTGAAAATGCAGCAGATTTCCATCTCCCTTTGACACGCGAGTTCCATTTGGGTTAATGATAGCTATCGGCACGCCGCAAGACAGAGGGGGAGCCCCTTCCTTTGGCTTGCATGGCTTGGATTTTGTCAAGAAGACGACACTACAGACACCCGTATAAATGATAGAACACCACCAACACATGGTTTGTGATACGACACAAATTCACACATTTTTCTAAAGCTGAGCGAATACGTACTGCGTTACCTCTCGTTCAGTGAGGACAGCACGGCATGTTTGCTAATTGATTCCTTATGCTGATTGCTTTAAGTCTAGCAAAGGGACATCATCGCCTCCTCCTCCTTCTTTTCCTTCCTGCTTAAGAACAACTTCTGGGATTGTCACTCCTTTTTCAGTTGAGGGGGAAGCACCTTTCGTTGCACTAGTCTTGTCTTTCTTTACCTTAGCGATCACTTCTGTGTAAGAGATTTCTTCAGTGAAGGGCTCTGCTGCTGCAAGCTCAGAGGCGACGTGCACACCGCCTTCCTGGATCCCCTCCTGACCTTCAGCTCCTGTTCGCTCTTTGGTTTTTTTATGGATCTTGAACGTCTCCTTTGTTGGGGTAGCTTGTGAAATGGTCTTCTTGATCCTTATCCCAGATTGTCTCAGCCTCTCTCCTGACTGCCTGATCCTCTCTCTCCTTTCAGGGGTCACTATTCTAGTTCGAAGCCTGTTTACCTTCTTGCCAAAATTTTGTCTTGTCTTTTGGATATTTTCCCTTGAAAATGCCTTTTTGATATCATCTATACGCCTCATGCCTGATTTCTTGAACTGGGCTGCTTTGCCTTCTTCGATATAATATTCTTCATCAGAAGACAGATCATCAGGTGGGAAGAAATCATCCTCTAGAGTTTCGCCTGCGGTCCGCTCTTTGATAACAGAGAGAGATGAAGGACACTCTGTTTCCTCCTGTGAACAAAAGCACAGAGTCATCTTCCAGCAAATGTGTTTTAAAAGGATGGTGATTCAAGTGTTTGGTTTGTTGGTTTGTAGTTAATTAATGCTAACTGAAATGCAATATTGTAACAAAGTAAGGTAGGCTTGTACCATCGTATGAGATCTATGCAGAATGCAAACAGCAGAAGAAGCCTTTGCCAGCTTCTGTAAAGACGTTCTAACCGATTAAAGATTTCTTTTCAGTGTGGTTCTACCTGAAACTCATGGATGTCATGGCACTAAGTGTACTGGCCACTAATGGTTTTCAGAGCAGATTTGTCTAGGTCTCTTAGTTCTTTCTTTTGGTTTTTTTTTTTTTTTTTACACTGATCTGTTTCTTGGAGATTGGACCTAGAGCCATAATTCCTCACCAATTAAAGCAGACATGCTGTAGACAAAAGAGGCTCTTGTGCTTGTGTCAGCTGTACGCTCTCCAAATGAGTGCCTCAGTGATGCCAGCAGCTTCAGTCCTTTACTGTCACCCAGGAAATTGCACATTTTTGACTAACTGGAACTTAGCAAACATTTCTGTTGCTGCCCAGAAGGGGATGAACCCCAGCATTACATTAACTTACATGTGGTGGCTCCACAAGGGGACAAAGTCACTAAAGGAATGAGATGTTATTCGCTAAACCCAGTTCCATACAATTCACCCAGTACCCGCACTGAGATGAATTGGACTTGTTCCATCTATGAGTGACCCAGAGCAAGCACCTCTATCGCCTGTGGTGAGTTTGGCGAGGTGTATGAGCATGCAGTATTAGATATTTATATTATACATATGATACATATTAGCGGCATGCTTGGAAGCGGTGACTATCCTACATATCTTAGCCCTAGTAATGTATGTAGCCCCTCCAAAGAAAGACTGCTAGAGGCTCAAAACTCAAAGACACACAGAAGACTTTCAAAAGCTGTCCACAGGGAACAAATAATTTACCAAGAATCACTTAGTGGTTAAGGACATGCAAAAGAAGGAAAAAAACCCCAATCTCGTGGTAATGGAAGGATTCAGTAGTACAATTTATCTGAAAAAGGAGAATCTTCCAAGAGAGTTGCTCCCCTGACCTGAAGACTGCTGTCTGCCCGGACGTTATAAATTCGTGGCTTGGTGTCAGTGAGTCACTTCTGTCTAGAAGTACTAGTGTGGAGTAGATAACTTGTAGGAGGTGTATGAGGTGGGCAATGCCAGCCCCTTCTTCCCTACCAGCTGTTTCTGTGCACGTGCATGTGCTCTTCTCCCAAGAGGAGCAGCCCTTTGGGGTGCAGGCAGGTACAACAGCTATATGAAACTTCTATAAGCTGTTTCCCGTTAGTAGTAACCACTTCAGCTGATTTCTGAGACATGACAGTGTCTGGGCTCTATCCTTACTATTATGACCTTAAGGCAGAAAATAGGAGCGATATTGGAAGTTGTGAACCCATGAAGAATGGCTCAGTCTTATTGAATATTTTGCTGTGAACTGATTCCTGGCCAAAAAGACATCTGACATTTTTCACAGTGACTCATTAGTAGCAAGTCATGTTTAATGTTATTTTACAGACTCCTAGCAATATGTAAAATAAAATACATTAAGCTATTTGGCAGATAAAGACCACTTAAGAGTCTGTCATCATGCCTTGGCTTCATTAAAAACCCTGTAGTAAAATAGTTGCTAATGCTTAGAAAAAATAGGGACGAGTTGTGTTGCATTCGTTACAGCAGAATGTTATTCAACTCATCCATCAAAATCAGCGGGAACAAAACTACAATGCTTTGCTAATAATCATCTTCATTAACATGTGCAAATTAACATTAATTATATAAAGACATCTATATATAAACATAATCCCTTCTTTTTCTGAAAATGAACTAAAACACAGCTGGATAATAATTCCTCAAAGTTTGTAAATTATAGCCCGCTCCTTCAGCTGAAATGGTAACACAAACGTTTCCAGAATGACTATTCTGAAATTTCATTCCATGCAGAAGTGAATACAATGCGGTGAATAGGGTATGCTGTTCATATGAAGATTACTTTTTAAAAAGAGAGAAGGCAGTGAGACTATTTTCTCTGCGATATTTAAGCTGTTTTCCTTTGGAAGAGGAACAGATTTCGCTGTAATTTTTGTCAATTTTTTGCCAGATTTTTATTGTATTTAGCTTTATAGTCTACTACCTAAAGACGAGAATGCTTTAACTTTCATACACGTGTTAGAATTAACATTTATGAACAACAACGAGTGAGATGAAGGAGATGAAGGCCTTGTAGATAAGACATACAGACTAGAGCTGCAGGTCCAGCGGAACATTTTTCATTCTGCTACAGGCTCTGAGGATGATCTTTGCCAATTCTCCGATTTTCTCTTTTTCCTTGGTTTCTACACACATCTTGCAGAGTCAAATGTAGCAAGGCTAAAAATTAGTGTGAGTTTCTATCTCCTCTCAAGGTTTCTGGATGGAAGATGTTACCAAAGTGGAAAGTATTAGCAAAACTGGCTAGCATGTTAGGGGGGGGTTCATAATAAAAATACAGTGATTTAGGCTCAATGAGAGAGCTTTCTCATCTGCTTCCTTTCTCTCTCTTGCCCTTCCTCACTTCTTCGTATCACTGGATATCACTTGGGTAGGGAGAAGGTAGGAGCTCATCCCTCCTAAAGCAGGAACGATAAGATTTAGCACCAGGTGGGAAATTGATGGGGTCAAAGCATTTAGCTGCCAGCTCACTTACAGACTCACTGAAAGCAAAGACAGAACACCTACTGATTTCCATTGCACAGGACAAAGCCCTAAACTGGGTGACAGCTTCTTCTTGGCTTGAAAGCAGATGGGACTGGAAATAGCAGTGCTGGGCAGCCCCGTCTTACAGGAGGGTGAGAAGGAGTTGGGCAATTGATGATGCTACTTACAAGCTTTTAGTTAAAATTCTACTTAAGCATTTTGCCAGGAAGGTCTCATATCTGCCACCACCACCTCATGGGAGTGAAGGGAGGATCTTCTAGCTCAATTGGTAAGTCCTCAAATAAAATGAAGACAGGAGATTATTTCACAGTAAAAGATGGTACCAAACAGTCAGGCATTTTTAATCTGATTTCTTGAGGAAAGAGGAGTGCCGCCATGCGGTCTGTCTATCAGTTAATACAAAGGGCATGTACTCTTCTTTTCACCTCACAGAAACCAGTAGGTAAATAATCTTAAATGCGGCAATGCCCCCGATCAACGTTATGAGACTCTCGAGGTGGCAATGCTCAGATAATTGAAAACTGTGGGGGAAAAGAGATTGTGTCAAAATATAACTGAGCCAAGATAACCCTGCCTGCACAGTCAGGCTCCTCTCATCCTCTGGGCAGGGAAAGAAGGGAAATGGCTGGGGAAATTGTTTAGTGATGTCTCAGGTATTTTGCTGCAGTCATGTCCTGGCAAAGATCAGGCCGGCTCTAGCAGCACCTTTCTCTCCTACTGCTGATAAAGGAGCACCCCAGCCAAGGGGGCTCCTGGAGGAATGCCATGCCTTCAGCGAGGTCAGTGAGGCTGTGCAAAGGAAAAAGGGTTATTCCCTCACAACTTGGTTGGCTAAATCTCCACTCTTCATCTTCGTAAGCACAGGTGGGTTCAGTAATTCCGAGCAGCAGTATTATTATTTTCATTAAGAAAAGGTGTTTAGCTAATTTAGAGTGGTCCACTGTACTTGCTAGACGAAGCAGTGGCGGAGTGTCACTGTACAACAATGCTTAGGCTTTAACTATGCTAACACATTTAATGATTATTTCAGTAATAATTTTATTATAATGTCATTTAAAAAATAAAAATAATGGGATATAAGGGCATTTTAATGGGTGTGGCCAGTTCAGGAGCTTTACTCCCCCTTGTCCTTTCACTTTTTTTGCACATGTATTCTGGGTTTGTATTTCAAAGCCCAGACTGGGCTTCTAGAGTCAGCAAGGAGAAAAAAATAAAAAATATTGTCTTATGTGTAAATATACACTAGAAATGCTATAAACCAGTTTTGCATTCTCTTTTCAAATAGCTTCAACATGTAATTCTAGAAAGCTTTAATAAAGGCAACTGTTCTCAGCTCTCAACTATTAGCTAATTACAATTAAAACTTCAGCAGAATTTTTTTTTTAAATTACAAAAAAAAAACCAGAGAAAAAGAGAATGAACAGCTAAATAATTAAATTTTATATATGTATAAAATCATATTTGTATATTTGTAATGACATTATATATATAAAATCAAGACTCAAAATGCTGCTAAAGAAACTGCTCATGGGAAAAATAGGGAGCAGAGACAGATGAAACTCCGTAACTGGGAGCCATTGTGTTGCACTGGGAAAAGGTCATGGCAAATGATCTTTCAGCCCTGGGATGTGTGACAGGGAAAGTGCAGGTGATGATTAACATAGGCACAGATGGGGCTGGCGGTCACCTGACAATTCTGAAGCAGAGCACGAAGCAGCAAAATGGTCGAAGGCCACCCAGCGCCTGGTCTGGTGCCGCTGCCGTGTCTATGACAACTGGTGATGCAAATGACTGGCAGCGTATGGGCAGCAAACTGCGTGGCCACAATGTTTAATAAAAAAAAAAATATCCCAGAAATCTGCATCTTAAATGAATGATTTGTTATTCAAACTGGCAGCCAAGGCAAATCACTAAAACATCTCCTTGAAATTGTTCTCTAAATCAATATGAACCCGCTGATGAATAACCAATTACAAATCATTCAGTACTTTTATTCGTATTCTAACGGTGAAGAGTGAAGCTCTATAAATCTCAAGTGATCCTTTCATTTTTTCTGCAAATACGCCGTTTCAAAATCTCTGCCATCAGGCCAAAAAGCTGCTCAGATGAGAGAGAAATAAGATTATTTTAAAAGGGCACCTAAGGGATTTTATCGAGTAAAGTAGATGATGGAGCATAAATACTTCAGCACATAAGACTTTATGGACAAGTGCTGTTGCTTGTATTTAGAATTATTTTTACATAATGAAAA